AACTAGCTGAATGGCAACTGACCTGTAACGAAACTGAGTAGAGGTTTAGTTTGTGCACACAATGAACTGAGGCTCAGCAAGTACCAGGACCACCACAGAGTGTTTGCTGGTAAAGCAAAAGGGCTTCAATCAAAGTGAATTTGGCTTACTGCGTTCATACATGAACACGGGTGTTATAGTATAGCTCAAAAACCCTTTGGATGAAACTTGAGTTGGAAATTCCAGCAAACATACTAGTACATGGCGCAAAAAAAAACACCAAAACATTGCCTTATGTACACTTTTTACAGTATAGCACCACAAACGTCAGCGATACAAGGATCTTTGTGCCAGTGTGTATTCTGAATAAACTACCCATATGTTAATTTAGTACATCACAATCATGAATGGTGAGATATAGTTTATGGATAAAAGCCCAATATTGAGTTGGAAATTCCAGCAAACATACTAGTACATGGCGCAAAAAAAACAAAAACAAAAAAACACCAAAACATTGCCTTATGTACACTTTTTACAGTATAGCACCACAAACGTCAGCGATACAAGGATCTTTGTGCCAGTGTGTATTCTGAATAAACTACCCATATGTTAATTTAGTACATCACAATCATGAATGGTGAGATATAGTTTATGGATAAAAGCCCAATGATTCAATGCTACTTAAAATGTGCATGCATAAAACAAAGTGGAGCAAACAGGTGAAAATAAGGTGGATGTTCTTAACCAGAATGTAGGCGTATGAAGTACATTCAAACTGTTCGTTTGTATCCTTATGGTTTTAGCAGGTCATAAGGTAGCGTATTTTAAACTTGCCACCTTAGGAATTAAAAAGCAAAGAGTACAGTAACAAAACTACAATGGTATGTAGAGAGAGGCTTACATTTCTGCTTCGGAACACTATAGTGCAAAGTTCTAATGCAAATACATTAGCAATATGTTTCTTAAGGTTAAAAGACCACCTCTGATCATCAAGCTGAGGGGCACAATTCTTTTGATGAGACTGGCATTTTTTTTGTCTGGCATGAATATAAAAACGTTTCTGAAATTAAAATCTGAAAGTCATCGGAGCACTAACTAAGAATCAACACAACTAACTAGTTTTATTCAAACCATAAGGTGTAAAAGCGAAGAGGCATGTGGACACTGTAACCCCACACAAAGCTGGAAAGATACTTCGCCAAGCAATATACAAGCTTCACTCAAGCAGCAAAAGACAATACTCTAGAAAAGATGACTCAAAAGACAATGTTAATGGCATAACATTGATAAATAATTCAAAGTTTCCAGGGAAATTGAGGCACCATTTCCGGTTTTCAGCTAACACTGCATGTGCCTCTTAAGAATTGAAACAGAGATGCTGCAGCATAGATTAACACGACAATCTCTACAACACCAGCACCTTACTTCATTCTCCTCCCTTAATCCTTGGCCTCCATTCACGGATATTTGAACGGATTTATCTGAATCTAGCATTTGCGTCAGATTGTTAAAAACATCAGTTTATTGTATTGTGGAAGGAGGGAATGAAAAGAAGAAAAAAAAAAAAAAAAACACCACACAAGTGAGACTTGCGTTCACTCAAAGTCCCTAACTCAATTTGGTATGCATGAGAGATTTCAGACAAAATCCCCAAATTTGACCCCTATATATAAACAGAGTGACGGTTCTGAATGGAAATGAGTTTTTGCATAGTGTAAGAACTCAAGACCTTCTTACGTCTGTTAACTTTTAATAGATTAGTGCCAATATGACTAGATATGAACAAAGAAACAAGGCCAAGACTATTCTAATATTGATGGTTCTTCTCTATAACATTACAATCTGTCCACCAGTATGCAAATTAGTTACACCCCCTTCTGATATAGTGCAAAAACATCTCAAATTTCATACTTGAGAAATTGCATATGTTGTAGACCTGTGACTAAGGTGCTGAATTTTAAAAAAGGTTAAAATACTAAAACTCGGTAACTTCTAAAAACATCTAACTAAAGCAGGTCATGAGGATGAAAAGAATGGTTTAAAAAAAATCTGATTGTTCCAGAGAATATCTATAAGTAGTAGTTTGAGCAATGATTTCATCTCATGTTTTTGTTGCTGTATGATAAATAGCCTACTATTATTCAAACCTAAGAAAAACAGGAAACCTGTGAGACACACATTCAAACAAGTATATGGATAAAGCGACAATGCACTGCAATTTAAAAAGGACAGAAAATGATCAAACGGAAATTCACACTATACATTTATGAACATTTTTATAGCTTGCTGAGCACATTTAAAGCATCAAGCCACGTATTCACGGAAAGCATATAATGATCTTTTGGCTTCATGTCTGAAACTTGCAGCACTCAATTGTAGCTTTGAATACATAGCTTAAAACTACCATCATAAAACAACAGCAATGCTAAATCATCTAGGCTAAATGCCAGCAGGTATGGCCTCTGAACAAATATGAATTAAAGATGCCATTTTAGAGCAAGTGTTCAAGATTTTCTGTGACATCTACCACTTTCACTTTCAGAGGGATGAAAAGACGACGTTCCCCATTAGTGCAATTATGAGGAAATGACCAGTGCGGTAATGTTACCATAATACAAGTAACAGGTAACAGGAGGTAGGACATCTAGTCATTTCCACACAACTGCACCCAGATAACACACTCATGATCCAGATAAGCACCGGAACTAGGGGTCTGTGTCCATTGCTCTTCAAAGTGCATCTACTTTCACGAGTTACGAGATCAGCGCCAAATAACAACGTAACTCTAGTCAAGTATTTGAAGATAAATTAAAATGCCCCTTATACACAGTCTGTTGGATTTAGAAAAAGAAGGGTCAGGGTTTCAGGGTCAAAAGTCATAGATTTCACCAGATCAAAAACCAAACATACCCATTAAGCTCTCTGACCAGTCTGTGATTCTTGTTTAAAAGTTTATGTTAAACAAGATACTTAAAAAAAATGGTAGTCTCAAGAATAAACTCTAGCACCTACAATTATAATGTCCTATTGTGCTTCAGTTATGGTAGGACATTAACTACAAGTACATATATAATCTTGTTCGGCTAACAGGAATAATTGAGAGCCATAGAAAGAACATCCAATTGTTGATAATAAAAATAGAGTATTTTGTAAGCTAATACTGCTACAGTGGGTACAGGGTTTGCACTATTTACACGACTAAAAGTACCCAGCATGGAAATGACTACATTACAAATGTTCTAGATTTATAATTCATATACACAAACATACCACTAAAATCTCTTGGTTAAGAATGCATAGTTAGAAAAAGATGGTTAAAAATTTCAAGAATTTCAAGTTAAAACTGAAGAATTATTTGGGGAAGTGATCTTACAGTTATTTCACTAACAAGACTCAATCAGTCACTACACATCATGATGATATGCTTTAGAAGGGATAAGACTGTTTACATGAAAACAGTTTACCGACACACAATGTATTGCGCTTCAATTTGAACTAAGTTTGGATTCAAACTAAATAAATTTTCTATTCGGTTAAGCAACAAAAAGTTAACAACTACTCGGCCTGTTACTCTACAAAAAGTCTCAAAAAGAAAAACTAGATTTCACAAAATTAATTTAGGTTTATATATCTAAAAATAATGCAATTTGAATGTTAAAAAAGGGATTGTAAAGGGATTTGTAATATTCATGAAAACCTCTAAGTTACAAGCTTGGTTTACAAAGAAAAGAAAAAAAAAAAACACTACTAAGGTGCATTTGAAATTTTCACTCTGACTTTGTGTCAATGCAACTGTATGTGTATTATTCTTTAAAAAAAAAAGTCTTGATTGCCTGTATGGCCAGCTGGAGTGCGATGACAGCTTTTAAACCTGGCCAGCGTAGCACATTCAAAACTTCACCGTTAGAAACAGCGCACAGAACCAAGCAAATCCCAGGGCTCCAGATTCCCCAATATTCAGCACAAAACTGGCTTTGCGTTTCAATGTGGGGAAGATTTGACAACATCATAATAAAAATGTCAGAACAGATGTTTAAAGTGAAAGGTGATGGTATTTTTTCCTTAAGGGTGTTTTTGACATGTTTTAGAAATGTAACTCATACACCCAACCCACTGAAACCTTACGTTACAATCAGCGAACAAATAAAAGAAATGCTCATGGCAGTAGAATTTAAAGTACGTACAAGATAATCTCATCATCTAAATACTTAGAGCCCCAAGATATTAGTACTTTTCATGACAATTATCCATATTCTGGAGCTGTTTCCGCACTGAGAACCCTGGCACAGGTAAACGGAGCACGTCACTAATGAGAACCAGTCTCATGTGTGCGGCAGAGCGCCAGAAAACTGATTGTCAGAACAATTCCTACATTCTCACTTCCAATTGCATTCTTGATTCTGCACATACCGTGTTGAAATTTCATGATACAAGCACATGATAGTGCTCGGTCGATCATGTCATTGGCGGACAGGTACAGTAGGATGACTGAGCCCTGGACTGAACAATAAATGACACCATGATAAAAAATTCATATTAGCACAAATAAATGAAACAAAACAGGATAAGTACTTTTGTCCTGAAGTCCCCATCTGGTCAGTGTACTTGCTTTTGCTGATAAATAATTTAGCTGTGGAAACTGCATACCCACATCCCCTAAACCTGATCTGTGTTGTCCTAAACTAACCCGAACCCATTGGTTTGATGAGTTTGTAAAAACTACTGTTCCACAGTCTCCATCACCAGCCTTGGCAATAGTATTGAATCAAGCCCACTCGGATGCAAATGTAACTTTCAGTGTAAAAATAGTCTGAATTTTTGGATTGACTATATGTAAACATGTTAACCTCTAATCTGACATGCACATGTGCAACAGACACACATAACCATGCCCTCCAAACCAAAGAAAAAGATAAATTAATAAATTCACATATTACAGTTCTAAAAATCATGGATATTTAGTATGTACGGAAATAGACTACGTGGGCAACTAGAAACCTAACAGCATGGCGATTCTTGGGTTTTTTCCCCATTTGAAAGTTCTCATTTATACAATTGAGGCAAACACATAAAAATACACACAGACACACACACACCGTGCTGTTTTCAGGATGTAGGGCTTGTTTCTGGCTATGTTCAGGCGAAGTACATGGTGCGCAGTGTGTCCTGGTGGATCTGCACAGCTTTGGCCAGGGCTTGCTGGTCTCTGCCGTTACTCTGACCTGACGTGTGACTGCCTTCAGCACTGCCGGCAAACAAATACAACACACATAATCAGATCTATTGGTATAATAATGCACAATGAATAACGTCTTGCATTAAAAAATAAACACTGTCACATCCAGCTGTGTAAGGAAATAAATAAGCTGTGCGTTATAAGCATTAAGCACTTATCTTAGCATACTGTATACAGCAGAGACAGGATGTTGCAGCCCATAGAAAACGTATAACAAACAGGGCTATATAGCCTTCTCTAGATGTTATCATGTTAATCGCAGTAAGACCCAGTACCTGTCATGTTCTTTGTCAACCAAGTGGTAGCGAGCACGAAACGCCACCAGGTGGGCATAGTAGGCTGGTGCAGGAATGGAGACAGAGCGGGTGCAGCGCACGTAGGTGTGGCACAGCTGGTAGGTGAGGACCTGCAGCTCATCAGAGGTGAAATGGTTGTCGTCCCACAGCACGTGATAGTGGGATGGCCTGCTGGTTCCCTGTGGAGATTCAGCAATTATGAAGAACTGAAATCACACACACTTAGACAAGCATAATGATCACTAACACTAAAGCCAATTAACCTCCACTTGTTTAAGTACCTGATTGCTAGAAATAAAGCATTCATAAGCACTCACTTTATATAGTGAGTCTATGAATTCTTTATCAACCTTTCATTGGGATCCTATTTGAAATGTTCAATGGTACCTGAATTCCGGCATGACTGCAAAGATAAAAGTCAAACTCAGACGGATGAGTAATTTTGGTGTCAACTGTGGTGCCAGCAGGGATGTTGCCGCTCTTTCCAACCTTGAATATAAACAGCAAATTTAAAAGACATAAAAAAAATAAAAACATTAGAAAGTCAGAAAAGGTCATAACTTAACATTAATTTACTCAAGGACATGTACTTGTAAAATAAATTCAAGAAATATTCTTTACTAATGAAAAGAGCAAAGGCTTTTCTGATTCACAAGATGTTTGCAATAACCACATTTCTCACTTGATACTTCCTATGCAGGAAGTTCTCTTAAAACATACTGAGCAGTTTAAAATTGTACAAACTGTGTGTACTCATTACTAGAAGCCTTTTTCTTTCAAGGAACACCTAAATAGAGCTAAAACTGTGCCATAACCAACCCGCTCATTCCTGTCCATGCAGAAGAGCCTGGTGTGATGTCTCTTCTGCACTACTACGAAGGTGATGCCTGGTTGATAATCTTTCTCCAGCTTAATGCAGGCTTCACGAATAGCCAGCAGTTCATGCTGTAGAACCTGCATAGACAAAACAGTACAAGGAAAATTAAACAAAATGTGCCAGCACCACTTAGCAAGCATTGACAAAAAGTGTAGGCCTGCAACCAACCTGGTTGAACTGGCCCTCTGAGATGCCGTCTCTGTAATAGATGATGCGCGTTGGTTTAAAGCGTGTGGATTTGTAGAATTGGATCAGCAGCTCTCTCACCATGGTGGCTAGATCCTGAATGATGTCCTGACGGTGCTGCTGCACCCGCACCGTGGCACAGTATCGGCTTGGGTGGGCATCCATACTTCCAACAACCTAAATATTAAATATTTTTTAAATTCAAGTTAGCTTTTTTTTATTATTATTTAGAGGGTCCCTTAGCTCGGAAATGTTAAAAGCCTTATTAAAGGCTTTTGAGGTTATATGATATGGCTAAAAATGTACAAGATGTAGATTGGTCACACTTGTGGTATTAGTGCTACTTGGCACTATGCAATTAACATAATAGGCCATAAAATATCAGAGGTTTGTCAGGCTTACAGCAGCAATTGAGGGTTTCTTGCCATCTCCAGCTGGTGGATGAGTCACATCTGCACCCAGAAAGATGACTGGTTGCTGAAACACCAAGGGCCTACAAACAAAAACAGTGATAAAAACAATCCAAAAAAATAAAAAATAAAACAGTAGGTAGCTGTACTTTCTGGTCAAATTTCATGGGAAAGCAGCCCAGGCTAGGGATGTAACGATGAACCGCGAAAATCGATTTAAATATGTGACGTTTCAAATCGGTTGAGATGCTAAACAAATCGCGAATCATTTAGCCGTAGGAGTTTATATGAATCCATGTCTGAGGGGAACTTACTGTCGTTAGAAAATGGATCATGATTAAAATGCAGTGGTTGCCTCTAATTTTAAATGGAAAGAGCAGACAAAGCCTTAGATTGTTTATATGAAGAGATTTATTTTATTTGTGTTACTGATTTCTTTGATTTGGGGCTTGTTTTATAATTTCAATTTAGTTTTGTTATTTACATTATATTTAAATTGTGTTATTTAGCAGACACTTTTATCCAAAGCGACTTTCAAATGAGGACAATGGAAGCAATCAAAACCAACAAAAGAGCAATAATATGCAAGGGCAATATTGGTATATTATTATGTTATATTTCAATTTCACAAAGAAATGTGCAGCATTTTGTCCAAGCAATAATAAAAGGACACATTTAATTTATCATTTGTCTTAAATCTCATTTTGTTAAAAAAATACATAAATCGTGAATCGAATCGTGAAATCAAAATCGTGAATTGAATTGAATTGAGTGAATCGTTACATCCCTAACTAACAATCAAAAGACTCAGAAAGTGCCTTAAGCCTTGTGCACACCGGTCTAATTTTAAATGGAAAGAGCAGACAAAGCCTTAGATTGTTTATATGAAGAGATTTATTTTATTTGTGTTACTGATTTCTTTGATTTGGGGCTTGTTTTATAATTTCAATTTAGTTTTGTTATTTACATTATATTTAAATTGTGTTATTTAGCAGACACTTTTATCCAAAGCGACTTTCAAATGAGGACAATGGAAGCAATCAAAACCAACAAAAGAGCAATAATATGCAAGGGCAATATTGGTATATTATTATGTTATATTTCAATTTCACAAAGAAATGTGCAGCATTTTGTCCAAGCAATAATAAAAGGACACATTTAATTTATCATTTGTCTTAAATCTCATTTTGTTAAAAAAATACATAAATCGTGAATCGAATCGAATCGTGAAATCAAAATCGTGAATTGAATTGAATTGAGTGAATCGTTACATCCCTAACTAACAATCAAAAGACTCAGAAAGTGCCTTAAGCCTTGTGCACACCGAAACGATTATCGCGCGCGCTACAAGCTTTCTGCATGTCAAAGGCTTTTGGAAAAGCTGCCCTCACCTGCCCTGTGGAAGAAGAATGTTGTTGACTCCACCCAGTTTGACATTAATCTTGAGGCAGAGGTTGGAAAGGGTCTGAGGTGTGGTTTTCTGTACATTCTTCACCTGGACACACTGCGTGGGCATGCCAAGAACAGTGTCTCCAACACGCTTCACCTCAGCTGTGAGAATGGACAGTTTAGAGAGTTACAAATTACACTGCAAACAAAAACACAAAAGAAACAGAGAGGAGCTAAGTTACCATAAACTGGAGTCTTCCCAGGTAGGATGACCACCACCAACTGTAAGCCTTGGTATGTGTACTTGAGGTGTTTGAACATGGGCTCCACACTATCTGCTCCCTGGGCATATTTGCAAAAGCACGGCTGGCCCTGAATGGGCATCCCAGCATCGCGCGATATCTTACGGAGCTGGTCAGTAAATGCTCTAGAGAAAACAAAAAAAGGATTAGACCATGTAAGGGTCTGAACTTTTTATAATAATTCCACCAAATACAAAAACTTCTCCAGATCCAGGTCAAAGCTGATTTACTTCAGAAGTAGTTCTGTACACTGCCTCTGCGGGGCAAAGCAGGCAATAGCCCACACTTTGATCTCAATCCCTGTGTGGAACTGCTTGTTCCTCATGTCCCACACACCCTGGACTGGGGTTGCTATTGCTTTGTTCTGAAAAAGCCAGAGAGACACGACAAAATTAGGAAGACAACATCCAGATTGGGATTCAGCCACAAGGTCAGCAAGACAAATGTCAAGTTGATCAGGACAGGTTCCTACCCTTCCACCATAGAGAATTGAAGGTGCCTGAAGGACCCGACCATTGACCTCAGTCATCTCGTCTCTTACCATAACTCCAAACTCACGCACATAAGGATCAGTGTTGAAGTTGGCACTTCTCATCTGTCACAACCAAATGAAATCCATCATGAGGTGTGGATGAGATTTAGAAGACTGAAAAAGGACAGAGAGCTGCACGTACCAGTTTGCTGATCTCATCCTGGCGGTCAGGCGCAGACCTGGCTGTGGCACGTATCATAGTGGAGGTCTGATTGTCTGTCAGTTTCTTGATGCATCTCTGTCCGGCTACTATGTTACAGACCTGGATTTTAAAAATTTTTTTAAAAAAAAGGTTAATGACATTCAGAGAAATAAATGAGAGATGGGTGGAAAAAAGTAAGCGTAAGATGTGGTCTTGACCAACCTCCAATGGAAGGTAGGTGTGTTTTTGCTCCTGACCAACTTGTAAACATGGGAGATGTGGATATCGCAGCACCAGTTTGTACTTATCCTTGAAGTACTGGGCAACAGTGCATTCAATGGTCTGGCCATTCTCTTGCTGCAAGGGAAACCTGGAGGCAAGCAAAATACATCGGCCTTTGACACTGCATCATCACAACGAGGAATATAAAATGTAATGGCATTCATACAGAAAGAAATGTGCTTTGTGAAAGATCTTACGTTTGATGGCTGGCTGGTCTCCTAGTCACATTACACACCCTGTATTTTCTCTTCATCTGTCCACAGTGAGTGATTTCAACCTTCAGTCCTGCCAGGTGAAGATAAAACAGTGTTCAGAAAAAAATAAATTCCATAAAAACCATTTGGGAAGTCACTAATTGCTGTAATGAATCACCTTTGATTTCCTTGGTAAACTTCACTCTCTGGGAATCCGTTAAGGGCTTCTGTTGCTCTTCGATGCTTTTAAAATCCAAAACCTCACACATGAACTCAATCACAGGTTGAGCTTTGTAGAATGCAGTGGCAGACACTAAAGATAAATATAACAAAACAAAGATTAGCATAAGAAGTTTTCAAAAAACATTTATTAATGTTATCAGTGTACACCAACCATCAATGTTGAGCATCATCTTCCAAAGGGATGGTCGAACAGACTGATGGAAGCCAAACCAAACTTCTCTTCCTCCACCGAGGGGGTTGGAGCAGCCCTCAGAGGGAGTGAAGAATGAACGTCCGACTGGGGTGTACCTGCAGACACAGCAATAATATGCTCTAAAATGGCACAGTGTGCAGAAAGATGAAGTCTGACACCCCCTAATGGTGATTTATGAAAAACAGAGTTAACAAAACACCAGCATTAACCTCATAGAGGGCAAATGTCTCATGACAACGTCCAGAGCCTGAATGGTCTCAAAAGGAATGTTTGGTAGCCGTCCAGTCAGTGCTTCATGTAGAGCTTGCAGACTCACACAGGACACCCATTTGATAGCTACTTTAAAACTCCTGTCTTTTCCCTCGCCTGGAATTGTGACCTCTAGCTCCACCTAAAGAGCAGTTCGGGACATTAGTGTGATGTGAAAATGTAAAAGATGTAGCATTTTGAGAAGGTACAGAGTAAGAGCATAACATATTTCAGTAACTGCTCTATCAAACATAAACATCATAAAGCCAACACAGACTTTAACATTTCTTTATTAGTGCATACTTTCTCTCTTCCAATGGGTAAAGGCATGGCAGTGTAGAGATTCTTCCTTCCATCATACACAGGCTTTCGATCTCCAAAGATCTGTGTCTTAAAGTGCTGGACCATGTGCTCAACAATTTCACTAACAAAAAAAAAAAGTAAGTATAAATGTCCTTCCAAACAATCAGTTGAAATTCCAAATTTCAGTCAAAAGATGTTACCGGTTAACTCTCCGTGGGCATTTCTCAGGCTTTATATCTATGTCGTAATGGTACACCTCCAACTTGGGTATTTCCATTTCAAAGAAGTTGGCCTGAAGCTTGATTGTCCTACCCATTGTGCCAAAGTCTGGCCGTTGAGGTGGTTTGAAGACATACTCTTGTGCTGGAGGAGACAGGGGAGCTATGGGACACACACAAACAGTCATTTCTTTTTAACATTAGTAAGAAACACTAGCTTTTTTTTGACCAGGTCTATTATTTTAAGCTAGAAATGTCCATGTTTAGTTCAGTGGACCTCTGAGCAACTTAATCCTATTAATTAGGCCCACACAAACATTAAGGTAAGACTATTAGAGCTCTGCTGTGCCATATAAACTCAAGCACCCCACCTTACATAACATCTTTATTTTTGTATATACAAACTAAACGGCCAACATTAGTTTGAAAAGTTACTTACTTGCTATTAACTTCATGTTTAACTGTACTGAAAAGCATTATCACACTCATGCTGTTCTACTGAATATTAAAACAGAACACAGCCACGCTGATGTTCAGTACAACAGCACTTGTTTTTTTTTTTTATAAAGGTAATTTATTGCCAACAGATCATCCATTAATTTTTACAGACATTTCCGTTAACCCTAAAACACAACACAATGAAGTGCAAAATTCAAAATACAGCTAAAATACCTGTAAAAAATTACATACAGAAATTCATAATTCCAATTACAGATTTTACAGATTTGAATTTTCTTCAAATTAATACATTGTGCCCTATTTTTTTGATTTTTTTTACAATGTGATGCGGTTTAAGTAATAAACGATCTACTACTGTACTGACCCAATCAAGCAGGCAAAAAATGAAAACACTATACAATACTGAAGGTTTTAGAGGAAAAGTGTGTTAAAACAAAGCTCTTAACAGTAAATTAAATTTAAAGACAATCATTCCTTGGGATTAAAGCTTTAATTAAACATTTCAATCAACTTGATAAACAGTACTGAAAATATATGCTAGGCTGTCGACTGGCCAGCTTAGTCTGGGCTGCTTACCAGAAACATCTGACCCTGAAGACTGAGGTTCCTGACACAGCTCAGCAGCTATAAAAGACATAATAACTGGTTTATTTCATCTCTACATTAGTGATCATGTGCAGAAACATATGTAAAACCATGAAAATACAGCCATTTAAGTTGAAAACAGGTTTCTAGTTCAAAGCCAGATTAGCACTGTAAAATTACACTTTGATTAGAAGATCACAATAACGCAGTTGATTTTCGTCATTAATATCCATCAGATTTAGTTGTTTACAAATGTCTAGCATACAATACAATTGGGTCACAGGGTTTGACAGGTCAAGTTAATGCAATCTTGTTAAACGTGTGAAAAACTTTGATGTACAAGGAGCCCGTGGGTATCTGCAGTCTTTTGCTGACAGATCCCTTGAACTGTCTAACCCCATCTTATCAACCCTAAAAACACAACACGGCAGGAAGATACTAGGGACATGAACCCATCCCACTGGTCAACAGGCCTTTCACCTCCTTATCACCAACACCACACAAGCAACTCAACAACCTGCCAAACTCTCCCACACACACACACAAGTACCAGAATGTCTTTTCATTGAACTACAGCAACTGCTTTTCTTCATATCACTATTTCAGAAGCCCCACAAATACATAACAGGGCTCTAAAGCATATAATACAACACTCATCACTTTATGAAACCAAAGTGTCAACACTTTACAGTAGGGTCCCATTTGTTAACATTAAAGCATTGGCTAACAATCTAACAATTGTATTTCTTGACTTACAGCATTTAATAATGTGTGTTAATAAAACAATTGTTATTAGCACGCTGAAAGTAACAACGTGTTGCACAAGCAGTGTTCATTTTTAGTTCATGTATACTAATGCAGTAAGACTTTCTTGTAAAGTGTTACCAACTAAGTTTAAGACTTGAATAAAAAGTTCTGTAGTTTTACTGCTTCTTAAAATGTGTGAAATGCGTCTTTTGGAATTTCAATACTTCTTACTGAAATGTAATGAAGTTGCATAATACACTAAAACTACCTCTCATAAACGCCAATAATAATTTTGTAATCGTAATTTAGATAGACACAGTCAACTTTAGCTGAACATCGCGACTGTGCAAAAATACATAACAAAAAGTTACAAATCGACCGGAAACGTGCAAAATTTGGAAGCAGAACAATTAACCATTTATTAACTAGAATGTTAGTTAGTAACTTTTAGTAAGTTACCTGGCTAGCTGGAGAAAGTCAAACTGGTGCCTAACTACCAACGTTCAAACATTTTTTTTAAACCCACATAAAACAATTAGACCCTACACTAATATCTCCAGACCTAAAATAGTTAGAAAGTACGTCAAGTTAACATTTTAAATGGCCGTGGATAGGAGTTTAACCAGCCGCTGTAAATTCAAAAGCCAGCAGGTCAACAAGCTTAGCTAGCAGGCTAACAATAACAGTGGGCCTACAAAACAAACCATCGACAGAGATGGAAAAACAAAAACACTTCAGAACTATAATCTAAAACATTATTTGAACATTTATGTCATGTACAGCCGAACGCCATTAAACTACATTTTTATCTTTATCAAAAACACCACACTTATTCAGTTAGCATTTCATCGCTAGCACGCTCGCTAATCATAATAATACTCACCACTAGCTGCTCCAATGGGATACATTTTAAACGCTTTCTGCACCAAAATTCACCCGCAGACCGATACTTCTTGCTTTTCTGATGCCACGTAACACATGCGGTAACGGGAAAGATGAATTTGAATTTAAATTTAAAACTGGATCGATATAAAGGAGAAAACTAGGATTAATGAGCGCGCTGAGTTAGTGGAGCACGAGAGCTCTGAGTGGCCCCATCCCATCCCCCCTTCACAGCACGAGCGCCTATTTACCCGACACTCACACACTCTCACTGCTTCACAGCGCAAGGAAACAGACACTAACATACGTGTGAGGTATCTCAGCGGCGCCTTATGCTTTATTTAAAGACAGTACTGAAAATATATGCTAGGCTGTCGACTGGCCAGCTTAGTCTGGGCTGCTTACCAGAAACATCTGACCCTGAAGACTGAGGTTCCTGACACAGCTCAGCAGCTATAAAAGACATAATAACTGGTTTATTTCATCTCTACATTAGTGATCATGTGCAGAAACATATGTAAAACCATGAAAATACAGCCATTTAAGTTGAAAACAGGTTTCTAGTTCAAAGCCAGATTAGCACTGTAAAATTACACTTTGATTAGAAGATCACAATAACGCAGTTGATTTTCGTCATTAATATCCATCAGATTTAGTTGTTTACAAATGTCTAGCATACAATACAATTGGGTCACAGGGTTTGACAGGTCAAGTTAATGCAATCTTGTTAAACGTGTGAAAAACTTTGATGTACAAGGAGCCCGTGGGTATCTGCTACGTGTGAGGTATCTCAGCGGCGCCTTATGCTTTATTTAAAGTATTTATTCAAAATGACCAAGAGCAGTAACAAAACATTCATTAAACTGAATTTAACGTCTAAATAACGCTGGCGGTCATGATACGTCATTTCCGGCTTTGTTTAGAGGATATTTAAAAAAAATGATAAGGTTTAGGATATATTTATTTTGTTATATTTATTTTCTATCCTTTTATTTGAGTTATTTCTCGCAGTTGTCTTATTCTGTTGTATCTTACCCGACACTCACACACTCTCACTGCTTCACAGCGCAAGGAAACAGACACTAACATACGTGTGAGGTATCTCAGCGGCGCCTTATGCTTTATTTAAAGTATTTATTCAAAATGACCAAGAGCAGTAACAAAACATTCATTAAATTGAATTTAACGTCTAAATAACGCTGGCGGTCATGATACGTCATTTCCGGCTTTGTTTAGAGGATATTTAAAAAAAAATGATAAGGTTTAGGATATATTTATTTTGTTATATTTATTTTCTATCTTTTTATTTGAGTTATTTCTCGCAGTTGTGTTATTCTGTTGTATCACACAATGTAATTTCTGGATTTATTAATTAATCATCTTTTATTAATAAAGCTGGACTAAGAAACCCATCGACAGAGATGGAAAAACAAAAACACTTCAGAACTATAATCTAAAACATTATTTGAACATTTATGTCATGTACAGCCGAACGCCATTAAACTACATTTTTATCTTTATCAAAAACACCACACTTATTCAGTTAGCATTTCATCGCTAGCACGCTCGCTAATCATAATAATACTCACCACTAGCTGCTCCAATGGGATACATTTTAAACGCTTTCTGCACCAAAATTCACCCGCAGACCGATACTTCTTGCTTTTCTGATGCCACGTAACACATGCGGTAACGGGAAAGATGAATTTGAATTTAAATTTAAAACTGGATCGATATAAAGGAGAAAACTAGGATTAATGAGCGCGCTGAGTTAGTGGAGCACGAGAGCTCTGAGTGGCCCCATCCCATCCCCCCTTCACAGCACGAGCGCCTATTTACCCGACACTCACACACTCTCACTGCTTCACAGCGCAAGGAAACAGACACTAACATACGTGTGAGGTATCTCAGCGGCGCCTTATGCTTTATTTAAAGTATTTATTCAAAATGACCAAGAGCAGTAACAAAACATTCATTAAACTGAATTTAACGTCTAAATAACGCTGGCGGTCATGATACGTCATTTCCGGCTTTGTTTAGAGGATATTTAAAAAAAATGATAAGGTTTAGGATATATTTATTTTGTTATATTTATTTTCTATCCTTTTATTTGAGTTATTTCTCGCAGTTGTGTTATTCTGTTGTATCACACAATGTAATTTCTGGATTTATTAATTAATCATCTTTTATTAATAAAGCTGGACTAAGAAACTTTTTTTTTTTTGCTCCCCTCCCACATTTTAAATAGGGGAAATTTGTTTCACAAAACAAAAAAATGTGTCATTTTTTTTTCTGACCCTGAGGGTGGGTTTTTATCATTTGATTAAGCATTTAAATAATACTTTAAATATTCTTATTAAAATATACCTTATATATAAAATATACTGAGTTATACTGGAGACATATTGAGTTTGGAAACATTTGCTTTACACCAGTGAATGTGTAAATTGTAGTTATTAACTTGATTAATTTGCTTTTGGTTGTACCATACACTGTTTTTGTTTGTAATTTTTTTTGTTTTGTTTTTTGGCCAGAATAATTCATTAGATTGTACTCATTAGGCCTATATTTTAATCGTGTGATCAGTCAAACCTATTGGGTATTAAACGTTAACCAAACCACTAACCTTGATTTATTACTAGACTTTTTTGACATTTTTCCTCATCATTTATGACTAGTCAACACCTGCATTGATGCACCGTTACAGTGGCCATGTATAGTCTTTTTTGAAAATGGATAACAGATGTAAAGAAACTTGGACTACCACGAGTTACCATGACTTATCTCCACTTGGTGGCACCATTTCACCACTTTTGCTGACTACCTCACTGAACGCTTGCTGGACGACTTTTCATTAACATTTAAGGAACAATAATAGTACAAACTAGTAAAATTTTGAGTCGTTAAATTATATTGTACATATCAAGGTTTGTGTCATTATAAAATCAGTCACACTAAAGTGCTGTAAGCAGGCCTTTATATGCATTGCTGCCATAAATTGTCTTCAAGCACCCGCTACTGACAGAGATGGACATTTAATCATATGATTTGATTTAGTGTTGAATGATAAATTATTGTAATCTGGAAAAGTGCGCATTTTCTGGTTACTCTTATGGAAATGAATATGTAGATTAGCGCAGACACAGCATAAATCTGAGATTTAGACAGATTAGCCTATATAAAAACAAAAAACTGTTTAATCCGCAGAACGTCTGAGAGTAGGCTATATAACTAAACAAAATAATATCTGGATATGTAATTGTATCAGCCTTTAAAGTAACATATTTAAGGCATTGTGAGGTAGATTTACATGGAATAGATCAGCAGCCGTCTTCTTTTCGTTCAGTGAGTGACTTATATCAAATAATAATCTATTTCCCGTTCAATTTGTTTGTAAACATACCATAAATACCTTTATTAAATCGTTTTTTGTTGTTGTTGTTCTTCTGAAACTGGTTGAACGAGTTGGGGAGTAACTGCCGTCTGCTGCGCTCCTTGGCCAATGGCACTAGATCCTCCCTGCAGTGCGTAACAGCGCAATTTAGGATTTAACCAAGTCTTTGCTGCGGGGCTTAAAGCAGTCTTCAAGAGAGACGCTTGACGCTTGCACACACAATGTTAGTGTAGACTCTGTGGACCCCTATAGAGTTAGACTGCCTTTTTACGTTGTCTTATCCAAACTATGACTGGAGTATTCGACAGAAGGATTCCGAGTATTAAACCTGCAGATTTTCAAAACCCTTTTCAGCTCTCCACGATGCATCATCCATCTCAGGAATCTCCAACCCTGCCGGAGTCGACAGCCACGGATTCTGGCTATTACAGCCCTGCTGGAGGAGTTCATCATGGCTATTGTTCACCGAACTCGGGCACGTATGGGAAACCTCTTAATGCCTATCAGTACCAATACCACGGAGTCAATGGATCTTCTGGAAATTACCCTGCAAAATCCTACCCTGATTACGGCTCCTACTCCACAGCATATCACCAATATGCCGGAACATATAATAGGGTGCAGTCACAACCGAGCCCGCAAGGTCAGTTATTATAGCCTATAATATATTCAATTATTTATTAATATTATTATTATTACTACTACACAATAAACATGATCATGGTTGAGCATTATTGTTGAACATATTGTAAAACCAGGGTATTACAGTTGTTTCTTATTATAAGGTTTGAATTTTGTAACCGAGTTGGACAAAATTTTAAGCTGTTGCAGCATTGCATCTAAATCGAAATATGTTCTTTAACGATTTACTGTTTTATTTATACATGGCCTATGCGAAACACTGCATGCATTAAAAAGATAGATTACATAGAAATAAGAGCTTGTAAAATACGTAAAGATTTAAGTTCAATCAAAAGTCTCAATGACTTTGAGAGAAGCATAAATCACTGCAAGAATTACCAACAATCGAGAGAGTGCTTTTCTATGCCCATGTATTTATCTCATTTTTGTTCACCCGTTAGAAAAAGAAACAGCCGAGCCCGAGGTGAGGATGGTCAACGGAAAGCCCAAGAAAGTCCGGAAGCCCCGCACCATCTACTCCAGTTTCCAGCTCGCTGCTCTACAGAGAAGGTTTCAGAACACTCAGTACCTCGCGCTTCCAGAGAGAGCCGAGCTCGCGGCATCGCTGGGACTCACACAGACACAGGTTCGACAATGTTTTATTAAATGTTTATTGTAATGTCTTTTATGTAATACTCATATAATAAAAGGGCTATGTATTTTAAATTAAAATATTAATATGAGCTTGCGGCAACGTTGGGAATCACACAAACGCTTGTTTTACATTTAATAGCCTATTTTCAAAGGCTGTTAAAATAATAAACGATGTTAACGACATTATAAAAAAATATTTTTTATTAAGAAGCATAAATCGAACAGAAACAGCCATAATGATTTATTAAGGAATTCGCCCTCAGAATCTCATAAAACCTTTTGTTTCTTCACAGGTGAAAATTTGGTTCCAGAATAAGAGATCAAAACTGAAGAAGATCATGAAAAACGGCGAGCTGCCTCCAGAACACAGTCCGAGCTCCAGCGACCCGATGGCGTGTAATTCACCGCAGTCTCCCGCGGTCTGGGACTCACAGGGTCCTCAGAGACCTCACCATCAGCCGCAAAATATTAACACACCGGCATCCACGTTTCTGGAAAGCGCCAGCTCGTCCTGGTATTCCTCCACCGGGGCAATGAATTCTCACCTTCAGGCACCCGGCACGTTACAGCACTCGTTGGTACTCGGATCAGGAACGTTGTACTGAAATTGGTTTTCACGCTCAAAACACACACACACACACACACACCAGCAACTCCAACTTTGCCTCTCTTTCTATTTCAAATACACAAACCCGCTATATCCCATGCCATTATATCGAGAGCCTTGTTAAATTCCAACTGAACATTTTCCACTCAACGATTTCACTGCAAACCGTGTATAAATAATGTCAGTTAGCTTTACTGGACACCCTCAACTGTAACACTCAACAATAATTATACTTCCACCAGGATTAGATCCATTATCATAATCTGGACATTTACAATTATCTATAATTTGCAAAGATGCGCCTGGTTCTTGATTGCAGAAGGTTTTTTCCCTGGCTCACCATCACTAAACAGTGACAGTAATAACGGCTAATTTTGCAGGCAATATATAAGAGGTGTCGGGGTGTGCAAACACTTTCACACCTGGATTTGCTTACTCGACACAAGCGGTACACAGGAGCGTCCGCTTTCACAACGGTATCTTTATTGAAACATTGAAACCAGAGATTTTGATCTATGCCAAACAATAAATGTATCGAAGGTAAGTGTTGCTTTATTACCATGTTGTTTTGTTGTTGGCTGTTCTGAGTGTTGCTGATGGATGGCCATTGTTATGATCTGTAGTTCGACTTGGGAAAGCCAGGCTATTTTACAGGAAAAGGTGTGACACAAACGCTGGGATGTAGTAAACCGGTCATGATTTATATTGCCGTTTCATCTCTCCATTTTTCCCATGCGCGCACACACATTCTTGTATATTTAGCCTAAGAGTGCTTTCTCACAATTAGGTTAGGTTAAATCTCAGTATTGTTAACTTCGTGCATTGTAGGGGCCTTAACTCTCACAAACACATTTTGTTTGTATTAGTACGCGTAATCAGTTGTGATTCACCCAAAAAAGATTTAGCTGTAGTATTTTAGGTTGCAAAAAATCTCAGGGTATATTTTGAAGACATTTATGCGTGCATAGTGCTGAAACCAATGACAAGCGTGTTTTTGACAGTTCCTATTTCAACAGAGCATACGTTATGTTCATATAGGCAGAGCAAACATGGAAATGAACCATCCCAATCCGCTGATGAGGGAACCTTTTTAGAAAATCAAGCCTCATTCTCTGCGACTGGGGCACCCACGATTTGACAGCTGCAGGGGCTTCTCGTCTCCCTATTCAACATTGTAATTTTAGATAATATCCCAAGCGTTCACTCTCCTCGGCAATTTGTACATGAATAACAGAATAATTTCATCTTTTGTTTCGTCTTTGCCACTTCAAATCCAAATAAAGATGCCTTTTAGTATTAAAAGTGGTAGAAAATTACAGGTAATTATCTTTGACGATAAAAACGCTGTAATCAGCGGGCTACATCAAAAATTACCCTAATTATGTCTGCATTTATGAGAATGGAAAAAAACCCCTCTCTTGGATAAAACCCATAAATTGTCCCAAATATCTCCTTCATATTAAACGAGACTGCAGCTGGATGCTTTGTTCAGGATCGATCCTGTGGCGAAAGGCATTCAGCGTCTCGCAGATCAAGGCAGAGAGAAAGGGGAAAAACATTTAGTCAATACCTTAATAATTGAGCTAGAGAATGACAAGATGGACAAGATGCAGCTCTATTCTGTAGGAAAAACACTTTGAGAAACCACCAGCTCGGGTAAGCTATTTTGCTATTGCTTCAGATATCTTTCCAGCATTAGAAAAAAATGTCATAATGTGGAGGTAACTATTTACATATTACTGTGCAAGTCGTTTAAAGGTCCTAATTTTGTATGTTTTATAAAGAAATGATTTATTCAATGCAGATTATTCCAATAATCAGCTCGGGTAAGCTATTTTGCTATTGCTTCAGATATCTTTCCAGCATTAGAAAAAATGTCATAATGTGGAGGTAACTATTTACATATTACTGTGCAAGTCGTTTAAAGGTCCTAATTTTGTATGTTTTATAAAGAAATGATTTATTCAATGCAGATTATTCCAATAAGCAAATTCATAACTGATTCTAAAAAGTCTGTTTCATAATGTCTCCAAAAGAAAAAAAGGCACGACACGATACTTGAAGTCATGTTTACTCCATTTATGACAAAACATAAAAAGTTTTTAACAACCAAAATCGGACAATATATTTACAATCAAATTGCTTGCTTTTGCATGATCAGAAACATCTAGCAAAGAGGTTTGAGTTCGTTTTCAAATGCGACTCAAGCGCGTGCGATGTGACCAAACGTTTAGCTTCCTGTTCAGATTTCATGTTGGCGATGAATGTTTGATTAGAGTCAAACGTGAGAACAGATTTTTAATCAATCTGTTTATGATGCTACCGACAGTTAATTCCATTGTTGATCTTCACCACACCACATGTCTTCATCCTTCAAAAGAAATCGTCCCCTTAATAGGCCAGAATAGGTCTCTATTAAGGATGTTAAGCCGAGGACAATGTGCGTCCTAGCGCACGTGAACTGGGCGAAGACAGGATGTCAACATCAAGGCCTCTGGCCTAAAAAAGGGCTAGTTGCCTATCTCTGCATGGCGTCCTGATGAGGCGACGAGTACCAGTGTGAGTAACCGGGCATGTAGCTGTTAGCAGACATGTTTACTCCTTTAGAGGAGGCTGAGACGTCCCAGATAGGTGGAATGGCTGGAGAGCGCGGGGACAAGGCGATGGAGCCGGGCAAAGGGTCACTCTCGTGAGGGTTACCGCCTTGTTTTAACAACTTCTTGAACTTGGACCTTTTGTTTTGAAACCATATCTTTACCTGAAAGACAAATAAAAAAATGTAGGTTTCTAAATTGTTAAGTAAAGGTGATGTCTAATTTAGTGTAAAATTATATTTTAGTTTTGTCAGGGTACAAAACAAACAAACGTATTATACAGCCTGCTTCCAAAACACCATTATTCCACCATTATCAATAACAACAATCAAGATATAATAACTCAACCTAAATGAGCAACACAATAAACTAATAAAGCAAATGAGTCCACATCTCACCTGTGTCTGTGTGAGCCCGAGAGAGGCAGCCAGTTCCGCGCGCTCTGGTAGCGCCAGGTATTGAGTCTGCTGGAAACGGTGATTTAGTGCCTGGAGCTGCAAACTGGAATAAATCGTCCTCGGTTTTCTGATCTTTTTGCCTTTTCCGTTGAAACGTATTTCTCCATTTTCAATCACGGTTGTTTTCTGCTGTTCTGAAAGGGGTGAATATTGTGGAATGATGTATAAGTCTGTACAGAATTTTAAATGCGATTTTTTTTTTCGACAAACACAAATAGTCTGTAATGTTCATTCAAGCACTCTATAGCATAATTACATTGTCTGTCATATTTAGGAAATTGCATGTAGTGACACGTCGAGACGGAGACAATTAGATGCTAATTATAATTTGCAATGGTGGGTAGAATCCCTGGCGGAACGCAATAAATCATTTTGAGGAGAACACCGTTATCGCTGACATAGGACGTGCAAAACTAGGCGAGAACGAAAGAGAACGGGTAAGGTGCTTTAAATACGAACTTGCAGTGTATGTCCTTGTTACATTTGATCGAAGTACAGCTTAGCAATGAAAATGTTTACGCGTGCAAATACGCTTACCTGTGGCGTCTAACCTGGTCTGTGCTCCGCTGGCGTTACTGTGGTAGGACGGCAGGTATGGACTGTGGTGGGGATGGCTTACATAGGAGTAAGGTAGCGACCTGTTATAGGAGTTCGAGCCGGAGTACGGAGAGCTGTCGTGCTGCTGCTGATGAGACCCGGAATGGAGACAGTGGAGCGGATAATGGCTGGCGGCCATCGACGGGGAGCTCTGTTGTGAGTGCGATTGCTGTCCAAACTCCATGAAAGCAGACTTTGACGAGTCTTGAGCCTCCAGACCGTCAGCCATCGTCGTCATGGTCATCATCAAATTTTCTGCTTTGAGAGCACTTATCCCCTATCTCTGAAGTCCAAATGAGTCCTTTCGTTGTGTTCGTTTCTTTCTCTCCTTGGTTAGGAGATATTGCGTTATTACCTCCAAAATGTATCCTTTTTTCGTCCTGTAATTCTCACACGGTATGGTGGAAGGTGGGCTTGAGTAAAGGCAGAGATTTTAAGGTGGATTCTGTTAAATTTGAGTCCTTGTTTCCAGACTTGATGCAGCTACTACAAGTAAAATGGTTTGTCTCCAAAGGGCAGCGCCTTCCGATTGGTCATTCAACCTAACGTCATCAGTTCTCTGCTTTAGCGGAGACTTCACAGTGAGTTAACCTACCTTAACAGCTCCCACCGTAGCCATAACCATGTGGAGAATAATAATGCTGGGATATCCCTCTGATATGCACTACATTCCCACTCAGATACGCGACTCCTGAGACAATGTCGCGCGCTGCCATCGAAGTAATTAATCGCGTGGTTCGTAACCGCGGCAGAGGTGCCAAATAACGCTTAGCCTATCGAATCGATAGAATACGATACAGGACAGCGACTTCATTGCCTTACGTACAACTACAAAGTCACTTTTATGGACGTTAATCTCTAAACGCATTTAGCCTAAAAGCAGCAGAATCCACACTAGTAAAATAAGAGCACAACACAAATAAAACCACACGGAACAACACAGAAATAAATAGGGTGTGATTTACAGTATAGAAAAAAAAAATCTATTAGGCCTAGGTGAAAATACGCGATGCCAAACTAGAAAAAGCATAGTTTTAAGCGTCTTCAGAGAGGATTCACGTGAACTACTAAACACGCCAGATATGTTCTGGTTTAATTAAGCCCCAGTCACTGAAATGCCCGGGTTAGTGACAGCCTTTCCTTGTAGTAATCACGAGCAAGTCACAGTCGAAAATATATGCAAATTACGAGTGCAGTTTGTGGTTTGGCAAATCGCGATCACATTATAAACCACTATGTAAATATACCCTACAACTGCAAGGCTTTCTTCATTCTCATCTCACTCAATTTTTATTTTATAGACAACGAGTTTCCTTATGATATGGCATAAATTTACTTTAAAATGGTAA